TGCTGGTTTCTGTAAGCATGATTTGGTGCCGTCTGTTAAACTTTAATTTCTTTCAAATAAAATGATCTTTTAAATCCTTTCCCTGTCTCTGCGGTACTTACAAGACAGACCCTGCGGTACTCACTCACGACTTTTAGAGTCTTAGTCTAGTTTATGCTACATAAGAAGACCAAACTCTCTTAACTGTATAGTTGGTTTAAGGTTATTCGTTGAATGACTATAATTATTGCAGAACGGATGAAGCGAATGTGCACCTTCGTTTATTTTCTGTCAAAATTGGAATGGAAGGCGATAAGGTAAGCTATGACTTCTCTTTTTCTGATTTGTTCTTGAAATTGAAAATAGTATTAGAGAAATAAAAAAGAGGATTTTAAATTTGAATTCGGTTATGGAAGATTTAAGGCAAATCATTTCGGCTAACTCTAAGATAACTGATAGAGGCTACAAAATGCTGATTTTCATCACTACTGATAACTCTCTACCCCCCCCCCTCCCAAAGAAAAAATTTTATTAACTGATATTTTAATTAAAAATAGAAACTAAGTTACAAAAAGAAGTTTTTCAGCTGATTCAGTAGTCATCACAAAAATAAGTTACTAATATCGGGTTATAACTAAAAATCTCGGCAAGCAATTGCAATGAAAGACGTCTCTACTTAGTATCACCAGTGACGAGCGTGTTAAGACCGCTAAATTTAGAAACTTTACTCTCCCATGTGAAAGGGCTAGCTGCACTTTCACCTGGAATTATATGGCCCCTGATTTTCTCACATGTGTAACCTGAATCGTAGCTAGTTTTTCTTGTAAAGCCCTCCCCGAAGGCTCCCTTCCCCGAGGAAGAGAGCCATCGTGTACTTTACTATATTCAAGTAACTTAACCTAATTCACTAACAGCAGAATGGATAACATTGCAGATCCAACCGAGTTCAAATGGCGGCTAATGAGTTTTTTCCTGCTTTTTTCCACTGAAAGCATTCCTTTCCATGAACAAATAATATTTGCGTGTTTTTACTTAATCAGTTAACCAAACCAAATTTAAAAATCGGTTATTACAGAAAAATTTAAATTATTTAATATTTAAAATGAGAAAGAAATGTCATTACAGGTAGTTTTCAGCTCATAATTTTTATGTAGTATTTATAAATGCATCATATTATAAATCGCTGCAATGGACTGAAGCAAATCAGTTTTAAATTTAAGTATGTACTGCAAGATAAGATAAATAAAACCTTGCAATCAAATACTGTATCTGCACATAAAGCTGCTCGCTTAAAGAGAGATGAACCTGGGTTCGAATATCAACGAATGAGTTGGGTACAAGGGTGTTTCGCTTATGTATAGGGTGAATACGAGTCAGCTTCTCTTGGAAAACCCTTTCGAAGGTATACTTCTCCTGTGTGCTTTTTTCCAATGAAAGTATCCCTTTCCATGGCTGCTTTATCGTATTGAAATAACCTAATCTAATCTACTAGTGGCTGAGTGGATAACACGTTGATCAGTGGTAAACGGTGTTCAAATCACGGCCAATGAGTATTTCCTGTTTTCTCCCCCCCCCCCCCCAACGAAACCATTCTTCCATGGCAGATAATACTTGCGTGCTTTCCCATAATCAATTAATCAAACCAAAGCAAAAATTCAGTTAATTATTAACAATTCAAAATTATTTAATATTTAAAATGAGACAAAAAATCGTTATCACATACTTTTTATAGTTTTCAGCTCGTTCTTTTGCTTAGTATTTATAAAATTGCATCAAATTTATATAAAACATTGCAGTGGTTGAAACAAATAGCCTTTCGAAGTAAATCAGTTTCAATTTTAAGTTTATACTGCAAGAAAAGGAAGGATAAATAAAGCCTTGCAAAGTCTGCCATTTGCACATAAAAGTGTACGCTTTATGTGCATACTATTTTTAAAGTTGCCAGTTTATTATCTGCGAGGTTGGAAAGAGTTTTAGCGAACTTAATGTAATAAAGAAATATGAAAAACTTTCCTTAATCAAGTAAATTTTTCAAACATGGCTATTCTTTGTTTAAAAGCTGAGTTAATTGATCAAGCAGATTTGAAGAAAATGTTGACGATTTATTTTGTTAAAAAAATGTAAATTACAAAAAGAAAAAAGGCTTGGCAATTAATGCAGAACATTTATATTAATTGCAGTATCATAACTGATAGTATTTCAATTTGTTTATAAAACATGTTAAGTTTCAACCTTTTCATTTATAAATTATAAATCATTTCATGTAATATTTTTTGAACACATAAAACTTCGACTAAACTTATAAGATATATATAGCGCTTGTAATTTAAATCTTCACTGAACATAAAAGTATACAAGGATAGTTAATTTTTTTGCAAATAGGGGTGCGCATTTACCTATTTGCCTGAGGTGAAAAAATATCTAAACACGGCTCTGTCTCTAAGTATGGAAAACTTTCAAAAGTTTAAATTGGTGGCTGTAAAAGTTTCATTTGCGCCATTACCATCATCAATTTCAAGGAGGCTAATTTGATAAATTTACAAGAAGTAGAAACTTGAACGGATAAGCTCTAAATATTCTGTGAAAAGCACGATAATAAACTATTCTGAGTACAGATGAAACCGCATTTTTTTTAATGAATTTTCCCGATAAAACTATTTGCTTAAAAAGTGGAAAATTTATTAGATTAAAAACTTCGAAAGAGCCGCTAACTGTAATATTATATTGCAGTATGATGGCTGAATTCATAAAGCCACATATAAGAGAAGAGCAAAAGAAACTTCCGTGTTTTAAATATATTCATCCTCAAAAGCTTTATGTTGAAAGGAAAGAAAATAAAATGTCTTGGGTGACTTATGACGTAATATGATGTTGGCTTTTGGTGAACAAATTTTTATGGAAAATAGAAAAACTATGTTCTACATCTGCCAAATTCGAAAAAATACATGTGAATTTATTAAAATTTTGATTATTTTTTAACGTGTTATATAAATCAAACACGAATTCAAATTATTCATAAATATTAATTTATATTTATAAACTAAAATTAAATACTTGATAGATAAATAAAAGGCTGACCACATTCTGCTTCTGGAATTATGTATTTTTTCCAAAGGGGGATTTTCCCTTAGTTAAGAAACCTTGGCACAGACAATACATTCTCCTAATAAAACCATTTTTTTACATGCCATGCCATCATTAGTTCAAAGCATATTCAAACTTCGAAACTTAATTACAGAACGTTTTCTTAAACTACATTTTATCCAAAGCACCCTTAGCTCGAAATTTAGATGATCTGGATAAAAGATAATGATTTTAGACGATATTCACTGGATTGCTTTAGCAACTGATCAGATAAAACAAAAGCAGGTTGAAAAATGTTTTGAGTTCGTTTTTTGAATGAAAAAGTTCGTTTTTTTTAAAAAAAGTCCTTTCCCATTTTTCCAATTTCATTGACACAAATGAAGATAATGGATAAGATTTCTCTGTGCTAATTAAAAATATTAAAATAAACGTTAGTGAATATGCACCATTCAAAAATGAGTTATGCGCAGATGAATTTAATGAATGTAATAATTTTTTTTTCCTTATTTAGCGAAATGAAGGCTTCTTAAAAGGAAGAAGTGAACAATAATAAAGAAAAGAAAAAGAAATTACATCGAATAAAGCTTTAAAATACATAGAAGATCTGGAATAATATTTTTTAAATTTAAGACCTAATGAAGGATTAACTGTCGCCTCTTAAATTAAACTTTTCTTTACAGAAACGTGTTTATGTGAGCAGTAGGGTATAGAAAATGTGTTTAAGTATTTACTTTAAATAAAACTGATATATCTAGTTGGAAGAGAAACCTATCAGTGTAAGATTTAAAAGTAAGCAAAAAGCAATATTAGACTGGTGTAGATTTTGAACAAAACTCTCTCGATTTTTTGGGTAATAGTAGTAATAGTAATAGGCGATCAGTAATAGGCCCCTCTTTTTCAGTAACCAAAAAAAAAAAAAAAAAAAAAAAAAAAAAAAAAAAAAAATTGCTTGAAGAAGAGAAGAGGAGGGATTTATATCTGTTCATCCTCGCGGTAGATAGTCTTTTATTCAAAATTAAAGCCATTCTATGCCTAATTATATTTTGCCTAGTTTTAAAGTTGAAATACGTTTAAATCTAATTTATTTTTATTACATGAAATTGAGTTTTTTATTCGTTATGACTGCATGAAATATAAACTCCAAAAAACAGTCTTATATTAAATATATGCGTAGTAAATATTAAAGCATTTAAATAATGGTATGCGCATTTTAGAGGAAATTTATTGATTATTCATAAATACATTATGAATATTAATGCCTATTCTTTGCAGCAACCTACGTAACATGTTTATTTGAAATCAATTTAACAATATGAAATAGCAAAATTAAAAAAAATATTAAATCAAAAATTACGTTTTTTTTTTTTTAGATTAATAATTTTCAATCGATCTGAATAAGGGAGACCTCTGTTTAGTGGATATAATTCATGGTTAAATAAAAGGCTTTCTCTGAAAACTAATTTCCTTAAATAGAAAAATAAAAATACAGTCATTATTATTATAATGTAATATGCGGTGTGTACGTGAGTAAAATGTAATAATAAATATTCGTCTTACACAAAGCCCATTCAAAAAAGCCAATTTGAAATTCCTATTTAAATTAATAAGCTTCGTAGTTCATGCACTTTATTTCCCTAGAACACCTTTATAGACTGATTTTTATTGAACTGTAAAAATCAATAAAAATTTGAATATTGAAAAAAAATAATGCAACCGGAAAAGTTTCTGGAATTTAGAAACCATACATGGTCAGAATGCGTCGATGGACAAGATTACGAAGAAAAAGAGATAAGCAAGCTTCTAAAGACAAAACGGATGTACCACTCCCATAAAGTTCTGAACGCGATTAAAATAGCTAAGAGAATGCAAACATTTCGCCGAACAAAATCTTACCGAGTTATATAAAGGGATCTACGTGAACATCCGGCAGGGCTGATCATTCATCAAAGGTTCAAGATGGCTTCGGACGCAGCGGAAAAGCAGATGCGGGTTTTACCCCTTTTTGAATACTGTGCACTGCCGACCAAAACGAAATTCGGTTTACGGGTGGAAAGAGACCCAAAACTCCAAGGATTAGGTATTCTAGGTAGAGGACGACTTTTCTCTACTTTCCACCACGACCATCTCGTAGAAGCCAACAAACTCGCGGAAGTCCTCCTGGGTAAGTGGCGAAAATTCTTTCTAAACTATATGTATTCGTTTAATACTTAATTATTTATTTCATAAAGGATACTAGAGTTATCTTTTATGACAAGCATCATCCATATTTACAGTATATGAGATTTGTCTAAATCTGCTATCACCCAACTCAACATAACGGAGAATAAATGTCACCAAAAATTTAGTACTGTCGAAGGAAAATTTCATCCGTTTCGTTCGCGCGAATGTCTTTTAGTGTTCTGAATAAAGCCAGCCCACATATTTTTATCTAAGGATTTATCAGTTTAGTATGTTATGACAAAAGTCACGATAACTATCGACCTAAGGAAAGAGAGAACTTCATGGAGAACTCTTAAAGGAAAACTGGCTCCTATTTATTTTATAGGTAAACCACGAATGTAGCTCATTCGCCAGATGGGACATGCAGCCCATTCGCCAGAACTGGAACCTGCGTCATACTGCCAGTGTTCAGCCTTCATCGACAGGAATATTCTTTGTAAGGAATTATCGGATTCCCCGTGAGTGCTCTTATGGTGTAAATGTAGCACGTCCAGCAATCTGTTGGAAGATCTGTGATTCAAATCCTAACGAGGGCATAAAGGATTTTTTGTGTTTTCTGCTAAAAGAAAATCTAATGCCGCTACAGGTTTTAAATGCTAAAACGATATTCTGCTTATAAGTATTGAATTGTTTTCGATAGAAAACGTATGTGAAATCATTGAGATCCTTAGAATCTATTTAAGTGAAATGTTATTGTTCATAGACTTAGGCTTAAATAAGATAACATGGGGCAATCGAAATATTTGCTTAAGTACTACTCTCCGAAAAAACTGTGACGTAATCAAAGTAAGAAAACTACAGCTGAATGCACTGCTTTGATTTTGATGTACGCTTTTGTTCGTTAGTATAATAGATTGCTCAAAATTTCAGAAAAAATAGGCATAATGGCAATTACCCGTACTTCAAAACACAAATTGGAGTAATACGAACTCTTGTAAATCGTTGTTAAAGGAATAAAGAGTATATTATATTGAACACAATCTGAAAAGTTAGGGCTGCATATTTCAGTTTATTAAATTATATCAAAAGAATCAAAAAAGCAGATAGTTTAATGAAATGCATCACGATTATAGCAATCAGTACGTACTTTCATTGAAAATTTATTTAAAGATTCTTTTCATACATTAATTTCGTTTCCATTTCAAGCACTTTAACACGGAAAGAGAAGACCACTAAACACAGGTGACTGCTCAAGTTTTTAAAATAAAAGTTTAATTAAGAAAAATCTAAAGAAAATGAATAAAAAAGCTTTAATGCGATGACGAAGGTTAACAGTCGGCTAAAAAAATGGACCACTGATTATTTTAGGCGAAGTCCGATTCGCATGGCTGCACAGGCCTTTTTGTATTTTTATATCTAGCGCCATGAAATATGAGTTAATTTCCCTTACTGTATTCGGCCCACAAGCGGCCGAGCGGTAAAGTCGCTGAACACTGGTAGTTCGGTCCAGGTTCGAATCCCACGAAATGGCTGGCTGTATGGGCGTTTTCGTGGTTTTCCCCATGTGTAACGTGTATACTAGTCAGTTTCCCTTAGAAAGTCCTCCACGAAGGCATCTCTCTCCTTAGGCAGATAGCCCTAGTGTGCTTTGCCATAATTAAAATACACCACACCACACCCTTACTGTGTTCTACAAGACGGCACCGCTCGCAGAAGCTTTCAAATGCTGAAGCATAATAAATTACACACCTACATTAAAAACATGAACTCACATTAATAACTGGTTTTCCTTATGTGTAACGTGTATACGAGCCAGTTTCCCTTATAAAGTCCTCCATGAAGGCATCCCTCCCCTTAGGCAGATAGCCCGCGAGGCTTTGCCATAATCACACACCATACACACACATTAATAACATTCAAACTGTGAGTCCTACACTTCTTTTTGTTAAATGAATATGCACAGTGTAGTATATTACTTCTATAAAACGTTATGTTACCGTACAGGATTCTTAACAAAGCTGCAAATTAAGTAGTTAATACTTTTAAGAGTTAAACATTCAGGGCAACAATTTAAGCGGGTTTGCAGCAGTAAAAACCTTTAAACATTTGCTGCGTTTTCTTTAACTTCTAAAGTTTTTATAGCGATTTGCTGTACAGCACAGTTAGGAGCAAACACAGTGGGCGAAACCCGAAAGCAGACCATCCTGATGTTGCAGAATAACTTTTGCATTTCAGGACCGAAATGCTTTTTTTCTTAATGCATTAGACGTTTGTTGCATTTTATTGTATCGAATTTTCGTTATAACTGATTTATGGAAAACTTAGAGCTTAGTTAAAGAGGGAAAATGACACATTTGTTCTTTTACACATGATAAATTAAAAAATATACTATTTGTTCCGTATTCTTAGTGTTATCAGATGTATTTAAAATTCTTCTATTAAAATTATATTCAGTAAATTAATTTCCGTTCAAATCGGTGATTTTCATTATGTGACTTGCAGTACACTGGTGTTTCAAAAACAGCCCACTTCAGTAAGACCAACATTTTAAGTAGAATAAAAAAACTAGAACGAAAAAATTAATGAAAAAGAAGAAAAATTTAAAGCACTTTAAATTTTTCATAAAAGACGGACTAGATGAAAATCATAATAATGATAACACCTGGTGCAAAAAGCTGTATTCATCTGTGACCTCCTAAGTTTTGAGTACTTTTAATTTTAAGTAAAACTATTAACTTCATAGGATGTCAGGGAATGAAGGAAAGTATATTCATTTGTACTAATAAAACCGATTCCTTAGGAATGAAGGAAAGCTCCATACTGTAGAGCCAGAATATAAGAAACAGAAAGAAAATGAGGCATCTGAAACTGCAACAGAATTTTTGATTTTACAAAAATCTAGCTAATTTAATTTTACAAACTTTGTTATTGTTAGGAAAAATATTGAAACTTATTTATAATCTTTTGATGGAATGGATGAGAGATATTGCATTACTGATATATATAATACTGTGTTCAGTAAAAAATATAATTAATTATTGTAAGTAAAAATATTCATTTATCATTCAAATCTTTGGGCCATCGTAAAGCTTTTTCAAAAACTAGATATTTCTTAATTTTATAGCGAAAACTGGAGAATTTACCACAGAAAAGGACAGATAGAGGAATAGGGTGGAGGTATTTCTTTTTGAAATACAACATGCGATTTTCTTTGATTTTTAAATGACATGACTTTTAATGCGCCTTAGTTTAATCAGAATAACAAATAGGTACAATAATTTAAAAAGTAAATCTTTTAAAATACGTCGTTATCATTGTTTTTAAAAAGAGCCCAATGATTGAAATGCTTATTAGTAACCATTTAAATAATATCTTAAAGCTCATTTTCCAAATGAAAAAAAAAATGCTTAAAATATCGACGGTGGATTTTACGACATCAGTATATTATCTAGAGTATAAGATGTTAACAAATAAAAATGGTTAAATATCAGTAGCTGACGGTATTCATGTGAAAATATGATAAAATTTTAATGGGCTACTGAACAGTGGGGGAAAAAGAAACCTATTTTTAAAACATTATGATCATAATTTAAAATAGTTTATCAGTTTCCCAGTTTAATTAAAATTTTAATATTTAATTTTATGAAGATCAATTTCTGTTGCCAGAATTTTTTTTTGAATGAATTAAAATGGAGAGAAAATGAAATGCATAGAAAACAGAAAACGAAGAATTGGGAATAGACTAAATGTATCTGAAGGTCTATAAGAAATCTTAATCAACATTAAGAAAATAGTTTTGGGAATAAACTATTTTCTTAATTTTTACCGCTTTAGTTTTAAACGCCAAATTTGCTGATTCTGTAAATCTCCCTCCTCTGACCTTCGTTCTATAGCACAGAGATTGGCAGATGTTAAAACTTCTGTTATTTTGGAAAGGATCAGGAAATCTGTTGATGTTGGGAAGGGGAAACGAAATAGTACCATTAGAAAAATAGTGTAAGTTTCCCATTTAGCATGTGAAACGTTTCTGCCAATAGAAAAATGTGTAAGTTTCCCATTAAGCCTCTGAAACATTTCTGCCAGTAGAAAATGTGTAAGTTTCCCATTTAGCATGTGAAACGTTTCTGTTCCAGAGGCAAAAATGTGAATATTTATTTTTTCTCCTTCATGCTCCAAAATTAAATGCACAAAAATATATTTAGTGCAACATTATTAAATCGGCGTCATTTTCTGTATGTAGTTATTCAAACAGTTTTAATTAAAGTTTATACCTTTTCTTTTTTCCTTCTCTCTCTCTCTCTCTCTGTCATTTTTTTTTTTCCAATTTGCTGGAAAAATACCTCTTTCATCTCTGTACCTTCATCAGTTTCATCCCTAGGTATAGGTGCTCAAATATGTTGATGTATGAGTTTGAAAAAAATAGAGGGCTTAACTTTCAATAACAAATTGCGAATTTTATTTCGAAGTGAAATAATTTACAAACGTGTACTTTGATTTGATTCGAAAGCTTTCAGAATCCAAAGGGCGAATAAACGAAAAGAAGTGTTAGTGGTATTATAATTTAATCAAAAGGAGACAAAGTATAGAAGACAATATCCTTCTTAAGAACCGCGTTGTATTTGACACAATATAGTATATAACGCAAAAATATGCAAATTTTCGGTATAATGTTAATAGTCGGAACGCTTTTGCATTTATTATTTCATTAACTATACTAATCAAAACGATTTTAATTTTCCACCCCAGGTGCTGAAACATTCGATGAATTCGTCGATTTGTGCCACCAGGCTCGTGACTTCGTCAATGAGGGACTGTACGTCTACGCAGTGTCCGTAGCTATCTTGCATCGTAATGACTGCCGAGGTGTCTCACTGCCTCCTGTCCAAGAAGTCTTCCCTGACAAGTTTTTCCCCGTGGAGACAATTTACAAAGCTTTTAAAGTCGCTAACAGTCACCCAGACAAAGATGTAAGTTCTACTTCTATTTCCACTGCGTAAAAGAATCTAACTGAATAGTAGATCTTGTATGAGAATTTTTGTGGTTTATGTTTTGCTACAATGCAAACAGACGGGCATGCTCTGCAATTAGTAATTATAACTTTGGGGGGGGCGGAAACTGCCTCAAGCAATTCGACTTACTACTAATACATAGTTAGAGGAAAACTCATGTTTTATCTGAAGGAATTTTACCGAAATTTAGAGGTAATATTAAAAAAATGTACCACAGTACCAAATTATTGTAATGTGCTAAAGAAACTCTAATGATATTGAGCTTTTAACAACAGGGTAATAATATCTAGATAAGCAATGAAGACATTTTCATACAGTCAACCAAAATGTCATCTAACTGAGTGAGACAATAAATAAGAGGTGCTGCTTGATTTATTCCGATGAGACAGATAAGCATATTGACTGTTTTAATAGTCTTCAAACTGCTCCTGCACATAAAACTATTAAAAAGTGATGCAGGCAAAGAATGGGTAATGACCATATTACCCTCGGAAAAAAAAGAAAATTTTAAAAAGGGGTGTATTTTTGAGAAATATCTTTATTACATAAAAGCTTACATCACCTATCATCTTATTTTAGCTAATTTAAGTAAGTATTTATGTCTATGATTTCTGCTGCTCGAAACTATTTAGCACATAATTTTATTTAACACAGTTTTTACCATTTTTCAAAGCCTTAATTTCATACCTAAAAGTTCACATAAAGATGTTTTAAATATTCCCGCTGTGAGATATTTAAAAGAAGTCTAGAATGAGTCTAAATTTTATTACAAATAATTAAAGATGAATTTCACTTAAAACACATGTCTTAGAGCAATCAAAACTCTGAGAAATCGGTTTTATTTTTGTGAAAATTAAAAATGATTTAATTTTATACTTTCAACTGTATACATTCTTACACAAAATTAGTCGGCTTCTCAGAAAGATTTGCCTTTATCAATATTTTCATAATTTTCCCTACCTCAAAACTACTTGACATTCACTGTATCAAACAGTAGCCATAACGTAATGCATACATTAAAAATTGATTCATAACAATTAAAATTTACACATTGCAGTTACGTAAGCAGTGTTGAAGAATGATCATCGCAGTATGATGATTCTATGAAAATGCATTGGGGGGCATGTAAAACGTGATGCTGTTTAATGAAAGTGATTCTAATTTACCCCGTCACCAAACCATACACTTCCATTTAATTTTTTTTTAAGTTTCTAAAAATCTGTAGTTTATAATTTAGAGGTTCATAAATAAGCGAGTCCACTGTAAAATAAATTTAGAAAAGTTTCTAGAAGAAATTTTAGTGAAATTGTTCTCCTTGATCTATTAAATAGGGACTGACTGAATTACAAAGTTATGAAGTTATGATGATTTGTTTTAAATAAAAAAAAGTATTGCACAAAGTTGGTAGTTTATAACTCATTAACTCAAACCAGATCCCAACCAAAACTAGCACAGGAAAATGTCCTCAATTTTTTTATTTTATGAACGTTACTTCATTGCCTATCATTAGCCATCGTTTAGCCTTGAAAATACAGAATATCTTTTGGTGGTATTATTATTATTACTGCTATTTTTTACTTCTTAGTGACTGTCAGTTTTCGGCTGCAGTCACAACTTCGAAAATATTTCTTCAGTATTATACGATTAATATGTATAGTAGAGTCTTTGTGGTTATGAGCTGTGGTTATGAGCAATAATATATTAAGTTACTGTCTTCTATATTTTCACGTCTAGAATATGCAGAGACATTAGGGTTTTTTGAAGCAGAAGACATGAAAAATGAGCAATGCCCTCGCCGGGACTCGAAACTAGACCTAGCCTAAGAACTACTGAGCTAAAATAATTATTAAAACTTTCATTGTTTGCATACATAAAAATGCAACTTTTTATTTTTTAAAATATGTTTACCGTTTTATAGGAATTCCAAACACGATTTAGTGCAGTAGAAAGTAATTCCTTGAAAATTATCAAAATAAATCTTTTCACTTTCGAAATATTCTTGTGAGATATTGTATTGAGTGACAAGTCACCAGTCTAAATTTCCTGAAGCTAAATTTTCTTTTCAAGCCGGCAAGGCGAAAAATGTATCGGATACTGGGACGCCTAAGGACTATAAAAATAACAGTAGATGTTTTTATGTTCAGAGTCGGGTGATCAACGAAGTCGGATGACCCTTGTGTCAAGATCACATTTTCTGATAGCAAAGGAATTGTTCTTTAGCTGCTGCTTGTAAGTTCCGATTTCTAATATTCGAATTTTTTACCTCTATGAGAAGAGCCGATGAATTTTATGTTAAATCTTATGCTAATCAGTCAAATTTATATCAAATACGAAAGAAGATTATCAAAATAAAAAATATATTTTTATTAAAATATTTTTGAAACTATATCCGTCAGAAGTTTTTAAATTTGCTCTATGTTTGGACATGGCGGGCGCTCCGGGCATCTCCCTGAATACACACAGTATTTAGTACATCCAACTAAAAACTACATTCCCGCTGAGGGCAGAGTTGGTTTTTCACACTTACACTCCAAAGAACACTCAGTAATATTTGCGAATTGTTCGAAAATTTATTACTGAAGATAACAAAATGTTTCAATTAAACACGAAATATATAAATATTTGTATCGTAAATTACTTTCGTGTTTTCTGAAAATATATATATATATATATATAAAATTTGCATAGAAGTTGAAAGCCAATTTATGGAAAGATTTAAGGAAAGTAGGGAAGGTTAAAAATCAAATATACGAATACATATACAGGGTGTCCCGTAAATGTTGCGACGAACGTAAATGTTGCGGGGGAGGTAGGGCACATCATAAGGATTAAGAATTGCATAGGAACCCATGGCCAGAAACGTCATTGCACGCCTCCAGGGGGTGTTGTACAGGAGAGTGCTAGCGGAAAGTGAAGATTGCCTCATTCGAGCGATAGGTACCATACAAAGAGAATGGAACGCTGTACGAACAGAGAGCTTGCGGACATTCGCTTAGTGTATAGTAATAGAAATATATTTTTTATTTTGATAGCTGAGAGTAATGGACGAGCTGCTGCACGCATTTATCGAGAACGCTTCCCCGACAGATATCGACCACCACACAGTTTGTTTGCATCAAAATTTGTGATACTACGGGTCATTAAGAGGTGGCAGGACAAGTGAGGGCAGGCCATGATCGACTCACTCGGTCGTTAGGGAAGAAAGTGTGTTGGATACGGTAGAGAGTAAGCTAAGCACCAGCATACGTATCATAGCGTCTTAATTAAGAATGTCTCGTACCAGTATCCAGCATGTCTTGAACGCCGAGTCCTTCCACGCCTTTCTTCTCCAAAGGGTTCAGTTAGTGCTCCCCAATGATCATCCTGAATGTGTGCATTTCGCACAGTGGTTTCTGCAAGTAAAAGCCTGGAATGTTATTTTCCAGCTTATGTGTTGTTGACGGATGAGGCCATATTCAATAAGCATGGCGTATTCAATCACCACGCTCAGCATTTGTGGGCTCAAGAAAATCCCCACGGTGTACGGCACCACGCGGCACAACAACGCTTCAAAGTTAGTGTGTGGGTGGGTTTGGTCGGCGACTGCTTAATGCTGCTTGTGGGGAGCAGTCAAAAGTGTCGTGTATCACGATCCTGTTGTGTCTGAGATGATCTTGTGGCAAAACTCGCCTGCCCAGCTGCTTTTATCAAAGAAATTCTCGGTGTGTTTGAACATGTTCGGCAATCAATGGTCCGTCGGTGTCCGACATGTTTGGCGTCTGATGGTGCAAACTTCGAGCATCTGTTGTAACATTCAAGCTGTCGTACACCATTTGTATTCACGTCCAATAAATGTTTCAAATTAATGACTCTCTTGTTTCCTTTCCCATCTTCTACCTCTGCTACCACTTACCCCTGACATTTCCGGGTATGGTTTCTTACGCAATTCTTAATCCTTATGGTATGCCCTACCTCCCCTAGAAGTTTGTCTCACATTTACCGGACACCCTGTATATATATTATAAAATTAGGCGCCTAAGTGTATTTAAGTATCTTTTAATAAGAATTTCTCCTTTGTTATATATATTAGAGACCAATCCGTTCAATTATTCGCCATCTTATGATGTCTGAATAAAAGAAAATCATTTACACACTTGTAAATTTAGACGACCATTTATACATATTTCGTACCAATATGATCATATTAAGATTCTTTCGAGAAACACTCCAGATTTTTCTAAAATTATGAGTAATTAATATTCTGCATTTTTAATGTAAAGTTTTTGTTGTAATACGACAGTATTTAGAAATTTTCCTTGTCACCTGAAATAAAAACCTTACTGAAATTCAGTGCGTTAAATAAATCATTACTATCGTTATCATTCTGGATATTTTATAAATCACAAAGTAAGAAAGGTGAATTCAGGGGAACCTGAATTTGGCTTAACAATTAAGCAAGATGCTAAATCAATGAATTTATCAGTGAGCTCGAAATTTTTATAACTATGCATTTATTAATTATACTTAGAATAAATTTCATATTTCTAATGCAAACAAATGTTTTTCAAAAGAACACAAATGCTTCTTCTAAAATAATGTTTTGAGGGAAAGAAAAAAGCCCAAAAGTACATTTTAACTTTTCAGTACTTTCCATGTTAATAAACGCCCTGCTTTTAAAGCATTTCTGGCCTGCTTATTTAGTTATTATTTTTCTTTACATAGAATAGGGGGAAATTTGAAAAGCTATAACTTAAAACCAGCTAATAATTTTAAGCATTTTATGCCATGTCTAAAGAGACTAAAGTTTTGAAGTCCAAAGAGACCTATTTTTCTTTGGTTTGTATAAGGGGTTAAATACGTTAGCTGTGGAGCGGCTTTGCCCATATTCAGAGTACACAAGAGGGCATTTTCCTTAGAAAATCCTCTACCCTCTACCAAGACTTCTTATTGGGCGGGTAGACTTCAAGGGCTTTGCCATAGTTTAATAGTTAGGTACTACAATTGTTTGTCAATCGCTCAGTAATCATTTACTAGAGTTTCGGCTTTTGTCTTTTTACAACATTCATATTTAGTTACTTAAAATTTTCTTAATGTACAAAACATTCGGAGCATTTCTTGTGACCAAAATTTTCTGAATACATGACATGTTTTCACAATCGCGAAAGAAAGATTAAGATTAGAATTTCATGATTATTGATAATGGTTAGTTTTGAGGTTTATACTTTTCCAGTTATCAATTTCTTGAATAATATTTATAATTTTGTAGATAACGTGTATAGTTTTAAGGTTAACTAAAAATACTCAAATAGCCCCCCCTCCAAAAAAAAAACCCCTCAAAATTTTAATGCAGTTTAGATGACTTTGTTCTTTTTGTTGAGCTGCTTGTTAAAAATACTGCTAGAATAGATATTAATGCCAACTGTTAGCAAAAATCTTTCATTCTGGATTAACATATTCACAACATTTGCTTCTAACGTGAATGCAAATATCATTAAGTATGCAAATAAATTACTTATATAGCTCAGATTTAATTACATAGCTAAAATACGCGTGAACAACAAACATTAATTGTTTTAAAGTGTAGCATGCGTAAGTGAACTAAAAATCCGTTTTTCATGTACTGAAGCAATAGGAATCGGAGAAATTTCAATCAACTTGCAGGACTAGTTTCGAAGGTTCAAATGGAACCTTCTTCCTTCAATTGCAGGAATGAAAATGACGAAGGTGAAGCATGTACTCATTTGAGAACAACAGAAAATAAAATTCCAAACAATTCAGTTGAAAGAAACAAAACTACTACAGCCATCTATTGACAAAAGTTGAAAACAACCAGCAAATAATTTCTTTAAGAGATAAAGGTAAAGACGGATTATAGTTGGGATCATTAACTAGAATTGAAAGATTTTTATAATTATGACACGATTTTAGGAAATCTAATTCATCAACGGTAGTTTTTGACTAATTTTGGCGTAAGAGAAACGGAAAATGTGATTTTTGTTTTTAATGAGAAATATTGGGCAAAAGAAGATTTTATACGTTCCTTTTTTGTAACACGTCTCATTCTCCTTAATGCAAAATTTCAAGGCTTCTTTAGTCTGAACATTGTATATTAAGCCACACTGGCAAGGAATACTGTATATAACGCAGATGATTAGAGGAATGGGGCCTTTAGTGTGGAAGTCATATAAGTTTGTTACCTTAAATGAGTAGAATCATTAGGTTATATCGATGCAGAAACGTGAAAAATGTACAACGCAGTCGCTGGTATTCAGGCTCCGGATCTCCCGAATACGCGTCAAGCGTGCATGCAGTTACACCACGAAGGCATACGGAAAATAGGGAAAAAATGCCTCAAAACCGAACTTTGTCGAATTTTCTAAACTATTGTTATAGCGTAAGAATATGCTTCTCCTGCGTTATTTTCACGTCTGCAGCTGAAAAAGTAGATTTTACTCAAACGTTTGATTATTTATGCATATTAGCCGGGCAAATTTATGCAATTTACGCTGATTCTTGTTGCTTTAGTGTCTCAAACATTTAATTTTCGGCGTGATATTTTGGTTAATAAAAATGATATATTTGCCATTATTAGGATGAAATCGTTGTGGACGTGGAAGCAACAGGAAATATCTTAGACCCTGAATATAATCTTGCCTACTACAGAGAAGATGTTGGAATTAATGCGCATCATTGGCACTGGCATCTTGTGTATCCTAGCACCTGGAATGCCGCAGTCACAGGAAAGGCTAAAGATCGCAAGGGAGAGATCTTTTACTATATGCATCAGCAGATGTGTGCCAGGTAAGATTCACATAATATCAGGATTATCACTGGATATCATTCGCACCCACAGGAAAGTGGAGTAGAAACTTTCTTACATCTCATTCTCATGTTAAATCAGAATCTAGGTCTTTTCAGACGTACTCTCTTTCCCTTATTTTGAGCCTAAACTATCTCATTGCAAATAAAGCAGAATTTTGCATGTACCTTATGTATAACGAGCACCGGTATATAATGCGCACATATAATGCTAAACAACATATTTTAATTTTAAAGTATATTCGTCATATAAACGCGCACCCTTTTCTTCAAGAAGAAACCTGAAAAATACATGTGAGGTGCTGTTATTTTTTGAAGTCATTCATTTGAAGATTTTCCCCAGAATTTCGAATAATATATTGAATTGACAAGCCATAAAGGAAACAATATGCGTGTGGGGGAAATGCTTGAGGGAGTAAATAATTCTGCAAAGAGGGTGAGTTGTATTCAGTGCAAGTGTGCACAAGAATTTTATTTTAGTGTTTCGAGAAAAGGGGGACATAATTTGGGGTAAGAATGCACTTCTGACGCGAATGAATTCCTGGATGAATTCGCGGAATTAGCAGTCAGATGATTTCTCTGAATGAAGGAAAGCACAATAATTAATATGCTTTATGTAATGAAAATTATCTGATAATGAAAATTTTTAAGTCCATAAAATGTGTCATTTCTTTTAAATAAACAGCATTTAGGTATATGTAGAAATCTAATTTTTAAATGTATAATTTTTATATCCGGTGTATTACGCGCACCGGTAAATTTCGATCTTATTTTTTTTTTTACATTAAATGTGCGTGTTTATACACAAGAATATACGGTATTCCTTATACCAGGGATTCCCAACATGGCGCCCGCCGCTGTGCGATCACAATATAAATGTTTTAGATTTCAATATAATTCTATGTGAAAGTTTTTCTCATTTTTAATGAAATAGAAATTGCGTCTTACACAAATACCAGCACAAAGCGAAATGCGACCGATCTCTTTTTTTTTTATGCACATGTATTATTAACTCAATCCAACTATAAATTCATCTTGTAAAAGTAAATGGTGCCCGCCCGTCCAACATATATTCTAGAATGTGCTGTTAGGGACAAAAAGGTTGGGAAACTCCTGCCATACAGTGATTACCGGTAAAATATTGTTTATGCGACTACAAGTTCATTCCGTTGTAAGGCTTCAGGTGGCTTGTCGCTAACTGTGTGAATGAAAATAAGAAAAATGGGTTTCCCTATGAAAGTGTCCAGTCTTGTTTCGTATGTATAGCTACGAATATAACATCAGCTTGCATGAAATACGTTATATCATAGTATAGTAAAAACCCGATAATCAAGCTAGCATTCCTTTCATCAAGATTCTTGCCTTAAGATGGCGCTACTATGCTATTTTATTAAATATAAGAATCAGAAGTTATTTCGCATCTTTTCGCCATATCTGCTCAGTCTTTTCTCTTTTTTTTAAACTTCATATTTATATATCGTTTGCTTTCTTTATCTGTATTTATTTACAAAGTTTCAGCAGAAAATCGAACCAAAAGCAATTCGTGGGAGGCTAATTAAGCATCAGATATGTTCGTGCGATTCTCTAAAAAATTAAAAATATATTAGTAAAGTAGATAGTATTCATATTCTATGGAATGACATTTTAAAACAAGAGAGGAATCTATGAAGCAGGTGGACATCTGAAAAGATTTTGCGCATTAGCAATGATGATGATATCAAATTATAAACTGAAAATACAATTAAAAGTTTTTGCGCATTGCCAATGCTTATGATTTCAAAGTATAAACTGAAAATACAATTAAATTATTTGAATAAATTCGTTTACTATTAAGTTTTCTCATTAAATAGGTTGGTAGAATTACTATACGTAGTTTTTTCATTCTTCTATGCATTCAGTAACGGAAAAAAAAATCTTTGCGATAAACAATTTTAATCCGATAATCTCGCACTGCTGAAGTGCCAGAGGTACCCACCGATCTCATCTTCAGCTGACTTAAAGCATTCCTGCGAACATAAATTACGGTGCGTGTATTAGACTAATTTTTAAGTAATAAACTACGGAGAAATTATTAAACACTTTGTCTGGCTTTTACACTATCTCACATCTGAATAGAATAAATCAAAACATGGTATAGATGGCCAAGGAAATTTCGTCATTTCAGTTGCTGCTTTCTGTTAGAACTATCAGCATTTTATGTTAGTTCTTGCATGTTTCCAAGCTGTAAGTATTAAGTCCCTCTAGCTTTCTAGCGCTAGGTTCTGAAAAATTAAAAAATATTCATATAATTTTACCCTTCCTCTGTTACAGATAGTTTTCTCCTCTGAGGGTTAGTTTATTATTAAATTGTATTCCATCGATTATTTTTATTTTTATTCAGTTCATTCAATTTATTTTTGCATTCGCTTTTCATTAATTTTATTTTCCCTTGCATTTATTATCTGAAAAATATAATAAATGAAACACTTAAGAAACTTTCGAAACATGTCATTTCAGCTTACTTCTTTTATTAATGTTAGAGCTTATTGTAGCCGCATCTAAAGCTGATGTGTTCGAGGTTTCGAAATCCGTGTTTTAGTATTATTATGTATTTATTACATTAATATTATTATGTATTTTTATTGTAATGTAAGTTTCTATTAAAGAAATAATATTGTGCTAGAAATAAATAGTTACTAGTACTTTATCCATGACTATTTTTAATTTGCTATGCTCTTCCTGTACCAGCGTCCTCCGGAAGTAAAATTATTCGTATAACTTCCCTCTCTCGATTTTTGGACGATAAATTTAGTAAAAAATGGGGGAAAATACGCCAGGAAATGCAGTAAATAAAATGCCTGCTTTAGACTAAAAATAACAAGAGAAACAATAAAAGGTAATAAAAAAACAGTAACAATAACAACCGACAATAACAGACTATAAAATATAAAATGCATGCTTTAGGTCAAACTAACGAATTATAGTTCTGTTTTAGATTTATTTCTTTGAAAATAATACAAAAAAGATATCTATCCACTATTTTTAAGACATTACATTACTTTCTAAGGCTAAATACAATTTTAGTAGCATTCCATTAATATAAAGAATACCTTGCACGATCTTTCAGTGAAAAATAGCTAAGAAAAATGCATTCTATAATAAAGATTTCTATTAACAGACAAAAACATAATAAGAATTTTGATTTCAATTTTAACTTCTTACAGGTATGACTGTGAGCGTCTGTCTAACGGACTTCCTCGAATGATCGCGTTTCATAATTTTGATGAACCCTTAGAAGGATATTCTGCCCATCTTAGTTCAATCGTCAATGGACTGCCATATGCATCTCGTCCAGCTGGTATGAAACTTCACGATATCGAGGGCGTAGGTGTTCAAGATTTGGACCGATGGAGGGAAAGAATTTTGGATGCCATCAATTTAGGTTATATCACAGATGCTGAAGGTCGTGAAACAATTCTGGATGAAACACACGGAATTGACTTTTTGGGAGACATTATAGAATCCAGTCACGAATCGAAGAATCCTGAATTTTATGGAAGTTTGCATAACTGGGGCCATGTGTTGATGGCAAACGTGCTTGACCCAGATGGAAGATATCAGGTAAATTACTAAATCAGTCTAATTAACAAAAAACAAATACAATTAGCATGAAGCAATCAAAACTTCGTAAATTCATAAAGTAGAAACTGTTAATTTACCTTAAAGGTATGAACAGAATGCTTAAGCTTTAAATATAACTTTGGATGTATAGTAAATGCTATTAAATCTGCTCAGTCACTGCACCAACCGTAACGTTATATACGGAACTATTTGCAATTATTTGAATGAAAGACTTCTTATCAAAGGAATAAGTATCCTTCAACTTCCAAATGAGAGCTTTCGCTTAAAAAGCACAGAAATATTTGTACTTTCATTTCATTTGCGTTGCTTAAATTGTTTGACTGTTAAAGTATTTAAATTTGAAATGTGTAAGAATGTTTTTAGAAAACATAGTTAAGTGACTGTATAAAAGAGAAATTCAACGCAAAATGTTCTAAGCTGCATATGCTGATTTACTGCGTGACTGTGCATATTCCATTTTTCAATAGCAAATAAAAAACAGTATCTATATATTATGAAGAAAATTTTACTTCCGTGTTTTATTTAGTTTTTTATTAGTATAATAATATTATAGAAAGAGATGGAGCTGTTTTCCGTGCTGCTACTCGTTAGACAGCGTATTGGAGATAAGACTAAGTGTTTGCTGCTGGTAATCTTAAGTACCGATTGAAAATGAAAAGTTATTTGGTTTCTACAACCTTTGTGAGTGAGAAGTTTATATAACTACAATTTCAACAGTTGAATCAGTTTAGGTCACAAATATAATCTGTTTAATTGTTTTCAAACAACTGATATGAAAACATACTTTTTTAAATAAGAGTTAGAAATAAAAATATTAAGAGCATTAAGCTTCTAGTTTAATGCGTTATTTTTCTTAATATTTTTGCATTTTCTAGTATTTTTTAAACGTGATTGCTACAAATTATGATGTTATGTTAGTCGGAGGACAAATGCACATATTACTTATGTTTTGAAATTAGGGTTTACTTTTGTGTAATTACATAGCAATTACTATGGATAGACTGCGATTTAAATTATCTATCACGCAATATGCGTTTCCTCTCTTCAGTACAATTTTTTCATCATTCACATTAATTTTCAAATTTAAGTTCCGATGTCTTAATCAAAGGTAATTTGTTGGCGTATTTCATAAACAACTCTAAAGAAGAATACGTGGTATTAAACTATCTCTCCAGTTCATAGTGTTATGGTTGATCACTTGTGGTTTAATTTGACTATTAACAGTGAGGAACTTTGTACATAAGATAACTATGATTTTTAGGGTAAAAATGCCAGTTTTTTTAGTGTCAAGTAGCTCAGAATAATGTGTATGCTGTTTTACATAAACGTAAGGGAACTTTACTTACTTATTTCTATAAAAAGGTGAAAGAAACACTCTTCAGGAGAAATTACAAGCAAATTCATGCCCATGAATGAATTAATTTACAACTGATAATATTAACTTTACAAGAGAAGCAAAGATTCTTTTCTTCCTCTAAATCCTAGTTCTGTAACAGATATTGTGCATGATAAAGCCCAGAATTTAAAATAAACTTTGGATAAAAGTAGAAGGAGATTATAAGTTTAGTGCAGAATGCGACAATTCTTCACTAATAAAAGCGTAAACATCTACACAGATTAAACTAAGAAACTGTAAGACTGTTGGTTATTTTTCCAGCACAAGACTACAATAAATCAATAAAAGGAAAGAAAAGTTCTGATTAAAAAATATTCGAATTTGAATCTTCGCGTCAAACACTGATGGTGCAAATGCGATGACGACATAGCTTGGAAAACTAACTGTAAATTAATATGCTAACGTAAAACTGTATATTACCGACGTAGCTTATATCTGATCTATTTTGATGATCGAAATAAAAAGTGGAGCAGACACCTAATTAGATGACATTCATTAAGTTAAATTCAGTTTTTGAATAGACAAATCGAAAGTAAGGAAATAACTAGTATCTGCCGATGAAGTAGATTTACTTTCTGCAAAAGGAAACGATATTAAAAATTTTTGCATATCTTAGAGCAATTATTAAAAAAAATTAGGAAAATAGTAAAAATTTCCTTTCAAGGATGCAATTCTCTACAATTATGCAAAATCATAATATGATGTTGAATGTTAATCCTAGATTAGAAAACTGACTGGAATAACTTAATCAGGCTTGTATTTTCAAAAGTATATCTATTGCTTTTTATTAAAATGAACAATTTATTTTACATTTAAACGCTTATCGTCAAACGAAAGTTTATATTACGTTAAGTTTTTATATTCTTATTACGTAGAAAGTATTGCAATGGGAAAAGAACGTTATACATACTAAGTAAACAGTGTCTCGGGTTACACTAACGCCAGGAGAGCATGACTACGAAAACTCAGATGTAGTAAATAGTCCAGGCAAATATACTTTTAATCATATTTTATTACAAATTTATATTTTAACCCAATATTTCTGTATATCTTTTGCTATTTTGTTTTTTTTTTAATTGATTAGAAGAAAGCACATCAAGACTGTCATCGTTTGTTAGAGTTATTGCTCTTTTATTCAACAAATTAATTAGTACAGTGTTTAATGAGCGTTGCTGAGATATAGGTAGAAGTAACAACAAGTGTTTCTAAGATGTTGAATTGATACAAAGGAAAAACAATGTCTAACTAACGAAAATTCAATGTTTCGCAAGATAATTTTTACTGCTTACAGTAAATTATAATTTTAGAATAAAGATAATAAGTTTTTAGAATAAAGATAATAATTTATTGTAATCAGTAAAAATTAGGTCAGAAAAATTATGCAAATGTATTAGTTGTTGCAGTGTTTGTTGCATATACCTTTCTTTTAGCTATGTGTACTATAGATAGATGAAGCAAAGCCATCCCATGTAGTAGATTCTTTTTAACTTTCTGACGTGAGCGTGCGTACGAATATACAGTTTTCATTCCAAGTATTACTAATTTTGTTCTAATAAAAAGCAGTGGTTCTATCTAGGGTGAAAATATATTTATTTTATGTCATTTACAATCTATTGCTTTATTCTAAAAACTGAAGTTTTGTATTACTATATAATCTCGAATTTTTCCTAGTAACTCCTAATGAAATAACAATAAGCCTTTTTTTTAAAAAAAAACCTACTTTGTAATAGTTCTTTGTTCTTTCCACTATAATTTCTACGAAAAGGCCTTTCACTGCTAAATTTAACACCAGCAGCTGCAAACTAATAATAATATATATCTACCCGTAACTCCAAAATACGAAAATTCAGTTGAACCTTTTACTTTTTGTTAGAAATACAACTGTAGTATTAACAAACACTTACTTTCTTTATATACAATATTTTAAGCATTTTAATCAAAATTAAGAAAATTCAGTTAGTATTATAAAAACCGGTAAAACAATGTTTATTCTCTTCCAGAATAACCCCGGCGTTATGGATGATTCAGCAACTTCTCTTCGTGATCCCATTTTCTACAGGTGGCATCGATTTATTGACGATATGTTCAACGAGTATAAGAAAAAACTACACCCATACACAAAAGATGATGTAAGTGAGATATTAAATATACCTAACGGGAAAAAAACCAAAAATATAATATTTATTGAATGAATAAATAAAATTTTCTTAACCTTTTGTTCTAAACCAAACATTTTTAAGTGGAAGACCAGTAACTTATGCTTACAAATTCATTTTTTATGTTTTTCTTCAATACAATTGCCTTCGAGAGACTAGTTTTTCTTTAGTTTACATGAAAGAAATTTAAAAATTGATCAACTGAACTTCTTTTATAGCTTGGTTTCAACGGAATTGAAATTGAACACGTGAAAGTGGTAGCTCATCAAGAAAATATTGTGACAACAACTTTCGAGGAGGCTACATTGGATTTGTCAAATGCATTCAACTTTGGCAGGCAGGGGCCAGTAAAGGTAAAAAATTATTTCAATTATTTTTACTCTAGCACTTGCAGTATTTTTGTCTAAGTTTTAGATCACTCATTCTTTTATTTTCACTTTTCTTAAGATTCGTTACCAACACTTAGATCATGAACCATTCTCCTACGAAATCGAAGTACAAAATCAGACAACCAAGGTCAGACACGGAACGGTGCGAATTTTCCTTGCTCCAGTCTACGATGAACTAGGAAATGTTATTAAAGCTGATGAACTGCGACGTCTTATGATCGAACTCGACAGGTTCCGTGTTAAATGTGAGTATATTCTGCAACAAGTTTGATACTTATAGAATTAGGCAAAATAATTTTAAAAAATGTATTTCTGAAATGAAGGCCATAAATTAGTGTATACGAATATTGTATTTATGAAATGAAAAATCATAAATTAGTGTGCTAATATACGAGTATTGTATTTTTGAAATGAAAACCAGAAATTAGTGTACTAATATACGCGTATTAAACCAGTAGTGGATTAAAAACATTTAAGAACAAAATTAAATCATAAAATATGCTATTAAGTTACTTACATAAATATTAAAATCCGATTTTAATAACTGGTTTTGCCGAACTAAATATGTTTTAGAAACCAACGCGGACTGGCTGATTCCAAAACTGCATTGAAAACATTAATCAAGTTAATGTTGCCTGAATCATCAAATAACATTAAAATAATTCAGTTATTTTCCTCCTATAAATTAGAAAAATCTGAATTTTAAACAGCCGACATGCCGAGCTGGCTTTTGGCATTTTGCCGCGTGTTGCAATCGCTGCAGGTCCTTAATTCTGCTGCCCCGATGCCTTCCTAAATTCTAAAAATTTTGTTGAACATAAAATTTTTGGAATTTATATGAGGCACTGCTACCCAGTACTTCATCTAAATTCCAAAAATCTTAACGTCACTAAACTGTACTTTTCTAAATTCTAAGACTTTTGCCGCACGGCTCTGGCGCTGGCAACACATGTACTTGTCTAATATTTTTCAAGTAAGCTGGTAAGAGTATTATTTTCAAGCTTGAGCTGGTAAGAGTATTAGATATAATAATTCCGTTTATAATAATTAGTAAGACATGAAGGGAACAGATAGTTTAAAAAGTTATGAGGAGTAACAGGTAACATAAAGAAGCTACAATTTGGATACAAGTTGCCATGGAATAGTTGACACACTGATTTTAAATTGAATTATTTAATTACAGCAAAATACAGCAGGATAATCCGTCTACGGGATGTCTTCATGGAAGTCTTTCAACTGAACACTTTTTCTTATTCTCTCTTTCGTTACGCAAGGGTAAAAATCATAAAAATCTCATATACTGAACCTATAAACTTTCGGGAATAGAGCACAGGACCAGGGTGAACTATTTGGATTTTGCGGATTTAGATAGCCTGATGCTTGACATAGGGAAGCAAAAGTCGTTAGAGTACTATAACAAGGGCCGTCTTTGGATTAAATAGTAATCAAAATAAGCATGTGCTTAGGGCATCAAGGAAAGGGAGAACCACAAAAATTCATGATTTCCAGTTTTACTATGAAATGTATGGTGCAGATGAACGAAGACCGACAGAGAAGAAATGGGAAAAAACAGATATAAAAGCATGCAGGGGGCAGTAAAAGTTTTTAAGTGTTTAAGGGCCTTAAAGGTCTTAATCTGGCCCTTACTATAACACTTCATATTAGAATTTGATCCTTTTTTCTTCGAAAAAATTGTAATAACCCCTTTTTTGCGTTTTCCTGACACAAACAGCTTCGTGATTGACACAATATTTTAAAATAATAATAATAACAAATATTTAATGCCCAAATTAATTCATTTTCATGTAAAAATCACGAATTTGACTTCTTTTGTTTCTGATAATATATTATTAATTTTACCAAAACTATTAGGTCATTAACGCAATATATCTTTTAAATAACAAAAGCCGAAAAGTATTTCAATAGAAGAAAAGAAAAGAGGTAATAAGGAATAAAAAGCAAAACAAACAATTCTGTTAACACTCTGAATAAATAAAAATGTAGTTATACATTTTTTATGATCAATAATTAACTATGAAACACAGTACAAATACTATAATATTTAAGATTTCAAGCGAAATTTTAAAGATGATTTTAGACATTAACTGATGTTGCAGGTTTTGACTATATAAAAGATTATAACGCAATTTGACATGGCGAAATAAATTTTATCAGAAAATTCTTTTCTATTGAAAGTTCATTAACCGTTTCCAAAAGAGGTTTTACCTTAAATAACACAGCCTCCCCCCTTATGACCAGCATTTTATCATCTTAAAAATAATAATACGATTAGTTTTCAATTACACACATTTCTTTATGGATTGGGGGGATTTCTTAGTCTTCTTCCTCGATGCAATAATCACGTTTACTCTGTAATTTACCGTACACAAAGAATATCAGAAATATCCTTAAATATCTTTAAATCCTCACTAAAAATTCTCAGGCTGTGTTTGCTTTTTACATTCTACATTTTTAGCATTATGAATCTTTTCTTTAGCAATTAAATCTTAAATTTCTTGAATATTCTTTAAATCTGTAAGAAATTTTCTAAATCTAATTCTAGTCCTTCGAATTAAGCCCTAGAATTCCCACAGACTACTTAGGCCATTTCTGTATATTTTTCTTCCACAAGGACTTCAGTTTTCCTGTTTTCACAGTTCCAGTCTTTATTTAGAACCCGAAAGCAATTTGGCATGATTAATTTGCTCATTTCTTTTAATTCAGAATATGCTGCCTCTCCATTTATCAGTTTGCTAGTTTCAGGAGATAATACCTTAGAAAGCAGGCATTCTGCTTCATGCTCAATACTGTCAAATATGTGCAGATTATTTTTCACAATATAAAGAAGAACGAAAAAAATTTATATTATCCAAAATAGAGAGAAAGAAAGTTGATTTACCCGACAATGACATTTTCATTCAAATACCTGCTGACTAAACCTATTACGAATGAAAACTAAATCATAATGAAATATATTCATAAACTAAATAGCTATAATAAAATAAATAGAAATTAAATAATAGTATCCTTTTTAGTTTCATTGCTGTAATGAAAAATATCAGGTAACTAGGAAACATAGGTAAGAGAAATTTTGTCAACGCTTGTTTTACAATAACAACAAAGCAGCTAACGTTAAATGTAAAAAAAAAAAGAAAGATCTATGAGCTTTCTAATGTCTTTATCAGTTTATTCATAGTTTCACCCGCATGGAATGCTTTGAAGGTGATAAAAATTCGCTTTAGCGAAGAGAAGTTGATAAAAATGTCAATATTTCTCACGTTATCAGTAAAACATAAATCTCAGCATTCTACAGATTTAAAAGTTTTTTCCCCACTCTGGTACTATTGCGTACGATATGAGGTTAAGTGCAAGCGTGCTGTAACCCAGTGTTTTGAGGATGCATTTACATGTACAACTGAGTTCTTCTCGCAGTAGTAATACTCATCATTTTATAATTAGATTTATTACATGAGTGTTCCGCTAATTTGGGAATTAGAAGACTTTAAGGAACAGTAAAAGTATCATTTCTGTTATTTATCGTAAACTACAACAATTAATCTAAAAGTGGGGGGAAGCAATTAATACCTATTAAAGTTCTTACTTATAAATCATCATTAATTAAGAAACTTCATTCTGTCAAATGCCTGCAGTAGATTTATTTATAATTGCCTAGATTCTGGTATGTAAGCCAAAGGATTTAGTTCTTTTTTATACTGTACTGATGAAATGCTTTTGCGTAGGCTTATGAACACTTCTACCTAGTCCTTCAATTCGATGGTTACGTTCCACCTGAAAACAGTAACTTAACTGCATATCTGCTCCATTTTTCTTAAATTTTCGTAGCTATCAAAGTAGTTTCTGAGACTTAAAAAAACTGCAATAATTTTACATCACAGTTTCTCTTTATTGTCCTGTTCTGTATCTATTTTACAATTTGTCAGTCACTGAAGCCTTTGCTAACCATCGATTGACGATAGTCAAATTTCAAGTTTACTTTGCTATAGAACGTTCCTTTATTATGTGAAGCAATAATGGTAGCATGTACGCTTTCACGTACACATACATGCACATATACATACACACGAATCCACATATGAAATTACCTATGCCTGTAGACAAAATGCATAAGCATTTTGTCTGCAGACATTGGTTATTTTTTTTTCAAACTTTACAAACATAACGCATCTAACGTATATCACACGTTAAGGTATAGACATTATATCCAAGAAAATTTTTAAACAGCAGATACCATTTAAATACCATTTTTATTGGTTGTTGTCCTTTTTCAAGAGCCATAACTTGTAATGTTATAAATTTTCAGGTCATAACTTTTGAAGTAATGGGACATGTTGTATTAATCTGTTCAGCTTAAGAGTTTCCTTTGCATTTTCTTAAAAACTGAAAGTCTGAAAACAGTGTATTTGGTTTCAAAATGGCGTCTCATCCCCAGGATCATCCCTCCACTTCGAACAAGATGAGCGTAGCTATAGAAAAGAGCACTAGCACTTCTCAGCAACGAAAACTCCCTCCAGTTTTCTGCCCTAGGTCTGACGTTCATTGGAAGGGTCTTTTAGGACGGCTCACAAAATCTTTGATTTCGAGGGTACACTGAGACCCGATCACAAAAGATTGTATGATTATTAGTACGCAAAAAAGAGTTTAATTTGTTTGTTTGAAAAGTCGAGCACTCAGCATAACATCCAGAATTGGAAAAGGATCTTCATTTGAAAGTGACCATTGGAAGATCCCTCTTGATACTGAAGAGAATGCTATCACCTAATTCCTTAACTGCCTTGCAGTCCTTGCCAGGAAAGTAAAACGATTTATGAAGGAGCACGAAGGGGTTACTGAAAAAATCTTTACTATCCTTGCGCAACTTCCGCGCACGGCGAAGGAAGAAAAATAACTACCCATACAATGCTAATGATGACAATGCTTTGTTTATGGTCAACTTAAGTGCTTTGATAACTCAAGGTATTTAAAGTGCTTAAAAACCTGACTTTCACTTGAGAGTTAAAGAAAGACGAAACATCGAGATGTTATCGATGCCTGTAAGAACATTCAGCAAATTTTCGAGGGTGCAGAAAACTGCAATAAAAAACGCAAAAAAATGCAATAAATCCGATCGCTGAGAATGTCTTAGAAAATGATGGCTTTCCTTAGCTTAAAACTTCAAAAAAATGAATAAAACCACCGGCCACTGGCATCCCTTCTACAGTGAAAGAAATTCTCAGCCTGACACTTTTCTCTTTCTCAGTCAGTTAACCAAAATTTCTCTTTCTCAGTCAGTTAACCAAAATTTCTGAGCAGTGCCAAATGTATCTGAATTCGTTCAACAAGATCCTTAATGGAATTTAATTCGCAGCATTACTTGAATTCTGAGTTTACTGTAATTACTTCTTCGATTACTGACTGACGAGATTCTACAGCACTCCTTTTGGTCCAGAATATGATGTTACTATCATTTCACCTCTGCTCTTTCTCTTGACTGATCCCAGAAAAGCAGATCCCTTCTCCGAGGCGTGTCACTTTCTCTTAACTTACTGGGCGTTTCGTTCTGGAAATCTCTTCACTTTGGTCTGGCATCTTTGATTCCCTTCACCGAGGTCATCAGAGGAGACAGTAAGAGCGCAAAGTTAATTGGCGCTTACATGAGTGAGTGTCAAAATATCATCAAAGTATCGTAAAGTTTATCAAAGTATCATATGCTCATAAAGTATAAAATAACAAAGTATCAAAAAGGCAAGAAGTACGAGAAATCAACTATGCCTTCCCTAGGATTCTAGCAGTGGATCTTTCAATACTAACTGGACGTGCACTACTTACACCATGACAACACAGGAAAATGCAGCAACTCCTTAAATAGTTAATAACGAATCTCTACTTTTAAGTTTGTAAAAAATGCTTAATTATGCAGTATTTAAAATCTATTCAACATGTTTATATAAGACAGAAAGTAGCCATTGCAGCTACAGAAATACTAAAGCATTTTTATAAAAGAGCTTAATAGAACAAAGTTAAAATACAAACAAATTTGAAACATTTTATTGACGTTAAAGAGAACACATTGGACTAATTGAAATGTTTTTTTAGACTGAATGAAAGCAGAACGAATTGTTTTTGCTATAAGATAGAAAGGAAATAGCGTTTGTTTCAAACTCACAAGATTACTCATCAAAGTTTTGCTAGATTGGTTTTTAAATACAGCCTTACATAGAGTTCATTTTAAACGTTTCTTCAAATTTTTTGTTATTATCAGCTGAGACTTTGTAGTTTAATTTGTCATAAGAGATAATACTTTAAGTAGTCACAGATTTTAGGAAATTAATTCTAGAAAATTTAAATTAAATATTTTTCTCATATTAATTGAACGCTTATAATACAAAGATACTTAACTGTAGATAATTCTTTGCTGTGCTTGATGAAGTGTGATAAAGTTACGTTTCGTTCATTTGAAGCTTAACTGTTAAATAAATTTGATCCTACTGGAAATGAAATTTGCGATTTCATTGACATTTATAGTTTTACAAAACTGAAATTCGAAGATATATTAAAATGCATATTTATGCTCTGTTTTTAGTGGAACCAGGAGTTAATGCAATTTCTCGTTCATCTCGAGACTCCAGCGTTACTATTAGAAAGGAGAGAAAGTTTGCGCAACTACTGAGCGGAGAAGGAGCAGGTGAGCATATTAATGAATACTGTAGCTGTGGCTGGCCAGACCATCTTCTCGTCCCAAAGGGAAATGATAAAGGAATGGAGTTCCACCTCTTTGTCATGGTCACAGACCACTTAAAAGATCTGGTAAGTTTATATTCAATTTCTTAGTATCTTAGTTAGTCTTATTGTACAAGCTTTTCTGCTTATGAAAACAACTGCATTAACTTTCTTATATTCGCAGGTTGGTCAGCTTACAGACCATAAGACCTGTGTAGATGCAGTTAGTTATTGCGGAGTAAAAGATGATCTTTACCCAGACCGAAGGGCTATGGGATTCCCATTCGATAGAACCATCGAAGCAGAAGCTGTGAGAGAATGGCTGCTACCAAACATGTCAGTTACTACAGTAAAAATTATTCACCACTGAAAATACGTCGTAAACCACAGAAAATACTTCGTAAATTGCACGTCAGATTGTTTCTAATTGAACTAAAATTTTAAATTATTATTTGCCATAGCTAAATTTATTCAAACATTCATATGCCTACTGAAAAATTGTAAACCCAAAATAAAGTTTTTTAAATGCAGAATGTTACACTTATTTGTTGTTACTGTTCTTGAAAATGTCAGTCTGTAGAACACAACTCGCATACTGTTTTACCAGAAGCAGAACGTAAGCCGATTATACGCGTGTGCAAAAATGACGAAGTCAAAATATTTTAAGAAATTACATTAAATGTAAAAGAAATACTATCTAAAAAAGCACGTAACAGAAGAATTAATTGTTTCTAAGGGAACATATTAATGAAATATTAAAAATGGGTTTCAAATAAACGAAACTATACATAAATATTCATTATGGTATGTTTTAAGAATTCGTGATATCAGCAAAAATTAATTTTAAAAATAAGTAATAATCAGAACACTAATAAAAAAGATGAAAAAGGAGCATGAAAAAATTACTAAGGTATAATCATATTCTATATAACAAAAAAATTGTCAAAAAATCATCATAATGTTTAGTTAATTATAAAATAAAGGAGATATTTATAGAGAATGTTTACATGTTATAAATTTGATGTTGCACTTAAAAGTGTAAACAACATAATTTATCTTCTTTCCCAATACAGTAAATATCTTAGATTAATTTTGTACAGTTACATTAAGAATTTTAAAGTGCCAGTCCACCTTTGAGTAACCCTAGAAGAATGTCGGACAACATTTCGTCCCATCTCACTGCTAAGTAAAAGAGTCACAACTAAAGTAAAATTTAAAATACAATTCTTTATTATCATGTCGACCGAAACAAAACAAGTTACACAAAATAAAACGTTAACCTAAACTATACTTCACCATCTTGCGGGTAACCAAAGCACATGCTCAAATTAAATTAAATGAAGGGAATAAAGTAAACATACCTTGGCTATCTTTGACAAAATGGCTCAAGAAGAAAACGCCGTTAGCAGAAACTTGCGCCAGCAATGATAAATTACAACAGCAGGAAACCTAAAAAAGTATGTGTGTGATTATGGCAAAGCCTCGAGGGCTATCTGCCTAAGAGGATGGATGCCTTCGTGGAGGACTTTCTAAGGGAAACTGGCTCGTATACACGTTACACATGGGGAAAACCACGAAAACGCCCATGCAGCCAGCCCGTTCGCGGGATTCGAACCTCGGACCGAACTACCAGTGTTCAGCGACTTTACCGCTCGGCCGCTGGTGGGCCCGAAACCTAAAAAAGAGCGATAACCAACCTATGCTGCCAAGCACTGTCGAAAAACTTAACTTGAAGCTTATTTATATTTTAAATAATTTGCATCCTGGTAGAAATTCATGAACGTAGAAGTTACACTAAAGCCTGAATACGCCAAAAGGGTTAATTAACATAAAACATTACAGCCGTCCCCATCTGAATTTAAATATTTCAAAACTAAAGGTCTTAATCACCTTAGTAAAGAAATTAAAGTTCTACATTAACTGGAGCTAAGATTTTTCCATGAATTCGATTGATGCTTCAATGTCTCCTTTATCCAAAAAGAAAAGAATTTTGGAACTATGTGCAGTAATCATTTCACACAATATGATGCTATGCGAATTTTTATTTAACAATTGCCTTTACATGTATAGAAACATTTACTTTACGCGTCCATTATTTGAAACTCTTCACCTTAATGTATATATAAAAGAACTATGTCTCTGTTATGCACCACGCACTTTTTGCTCATATCCCAGTTCCCCAACTGTTTAGTTTTTTTTTTTTTTTCCAAACGTTAAAGTCTAGTGTCTTTAAATTAATGTGAAAATAAACTGTCGGCTGGGGAGTTCATACAACTTTCCCTAAATCTTTACATGTATTTTCAACAAATATTTCATTTCACTAACTCTTTCATTAAATTTATAATAATACATAAATTTTTCTTATATGAAATGTACAGTTTTAATAAAAGGTTGCCATTACTTGCAATTCTCATAACTTTAAAAAACAATTCGACTGTTTACAGTCACATTTGATTAGAAACACAGTTTTGTGGTTATATATTTTGGACTAACTAAGGATACCATTATTAAGAGTTTCGGACAAGGTCATTAAACAACCATGTCACATGCGTAGAATCGAAATGTAGCATTATGTGCGCGATACCGTAGAGAGATAACTGCTGTAGAAATCCTTCATGCCTTCACTGCTACGTCAATGCTACGGCCAGGCTATAAACATGGCTAGCACAACACGTTCTCTAAACTCGGTTACTAGCAATATGTCTGTCCCTCAAAAACCGTAGAACAGAGTCCGTCTTTTGTGGAACCAGGCAGACCAGTTTTGGACATAGTATGCTTGACAGCAATGTCCTCTTCAGTGATGAGTGGAGTTTCAGGATATAAACTGACTCTTCACGAATTTTTATCTGGAAAGATCCTGGAGCCCGCTAGTGCCCCTCCAACATAAGCGAAACTGATCATCCTAGAATGCAGGTTAATAACGCACATTTTCTGCTAGCAATCGTATACCATTTTTCAAAACGGGGAGAATTAATTCCATTACGGCATGCGTCAGCAAATTCAGTAGCCGACACATCTTAAAAAATACATTTTAAAATTTCGGGGCTCAAAATCATATCGGCTAACGAACCGCAATTTGTCAGGAATATATTTGAAAAGCTGTACACAGACCTGGACATAATACATTTGAAATTACCCTGTACAGACCTCACCTCAATAATATCACTGAGTGTATAAATATAGCGCAATTAGTTCATTGCTATGTTAAAAAAGGGTCATAACAACTGGGATAGACATACTTAAAGAATTGACATATGCACTGCGATCAGCAAACACCAGACTCCAGATGAAACGCCCTCAGAACTATTTTTGGGTTGGAAAATCAAAATGCTTTTACATAAGCTATTTTATGGGAAAGAGAGGAAAGCGGTATAATTGTTCCTTTAATTTTTACCGGTAGTGTATAACCCGTCTACTACTCATAACAGAAACACCATCAGTTTGGGTCTATTCCCACTTTTGCTAAATTGATAAACATATTGTCTTCTAAATTCTTTAATTTTTTTTTTAATCTACTAGGCTGCAAACGAAATTGCAAATACGTTCGTTAATCCCTAAAAAGGGGCAAAATTTCACAGCATATTCAATTCTAATACTTTTGTTAAATGTTATGCAATTCTTCTATAAATAAGTACATAAAAATAAAAAGTATATAAACGAATAAAAAGATTCCTCAACCTTGATTTAGGCAATGGTGGTATATTATCGATTCTCCTTTAATGTCATAATGACGAAATGTGCGTAAAAATATCATTCAACTTCTTTGAAAAACATACACTTTTATTTACTTATAATAATAATGAAAACATGTACATTTTAGGCACAAAATATGTAAGCAAAATCAGCTCGGGAATACATTCGAGTTCATGAATATATATATATCTATATATAAAGGAAAATAAAATGTTCTACTATTGAAAATGTTAATGATTTTTTCAAAGGATTTTCTTCACCTCATAGCAACATATATACATCACTTAATATATATGTACACCTTCAACTAAAATTTTAAACTGTACATGACACGAATGATGGAAAGTGTTATTATTTTTAGTCCAATTGATTACCGGCACATCAGACTTCTCAATAATCATTGCCAAGAACTATCATGTCATATATTGAGCTATTGCTGAAAGCGAGTAAAGAAGTTCCGCTTGCATTCGAGCCTCAAACACCATTAGATTCACATGAACCTGAAATAAAATTATATAATAAATAAATAAGGCAATAATAAGTTAATAAGTATCTCTTAAATTTTGTGCGAAATAATTTTTCATACATAATTTTTTAAAAATATAAAGAAAATAATCATATAAAATATAAAGAAACTAATTATATAATAAGAGAATACATAGAAAATAAAATACAAGTGAGATGGTTATAACGAGAAACCGTTTTTTTGTAGAGGACAATGTGTCTACGAAAGTCCCGTGGACGTGCTGCAAGTAAACAATCAGGAGAAATAAAGGACTACAAAAGAGATTAGCAATATGCTTATTAGCTTCATAATAAGACAGTAAAGTGTACACATGCAAGATGATAGGAAGTGCTAAAAGTTCCTTCTGCCAGATAAAAAAAAGCACATCTCCGCGCACTGGCGCTTGTATGCAAAAATGCTAAGCCTATCGTGAATACATCCAGCTGTTGCAGCAACTATTGCAAAGAGATCAGCTTCAGATCCAGTTAAGTAGGTTTTTGGAGAGCCTTGTTCTTCTGAAAATCTCCTTTACCAATGGTAGCACAACAAGCTATGCATTTGCTGTACGCATTATTATACACAGGATGGGTCTTTCTGCCCAGGTACCTGCTTCCATGACAAGATCGTCATTTAACTCAAAAGATTCAGCGTAGTCTTTCAGACGAGACCTTTGAGGTAACCACAGAAGTAGAAGTCAATAGCAGATATTAATGGCGGAAGTGCAAAAGAGATAATTTTCTGCTAAATAGCAGCCCAGAACCTCCAGATCGAGTTTCTTGGTCACAGATTCCTATATGGTGGTTTCTTTGTGCATGCCGGATCTGTCTTTAAAGTTTGCACAGGGAACTTTCAATGGCTCAGTATCAATCCTGCGAGCTACATTTGACAAACACAAGCTATTAAAGTTCTTTGAATTCAATGCATAAAAGAATCCTGATAAACCCAAAATAAAGGGATGGTCGGTATCCGATATACCCGAGAATATCGGATTACACGAATCTACCAAACATGAGTTATTAAAACAGATCCTTTGAAAAATAACTACTTTACAGCTGACGGCCCTAAATTCACGGTTTCGGTTCCCATCGGAATCCCCCCCCCTCAGCTTCAGATTTTCCAGCAATCTGGGAAACCTAAGAGACATTTTACGAAATCTAAAAATATTAAGAAGGTTAAAAAAATTTGGGGTGTGCGAAAAATGCATAACACGTAAGTAGACACTACTGTAATTTATCATTTATAACATATACGTACGTACGTTACAATTAAAAGACGCCTATCTGTTCTAATATGTCAAAATTCGCCAACCCGTCTGTGCAGAAATACCTGTGAACTTCGCATGGTGCCTACTGGAAAGAAGCAAAGTAAACTATTCAGCCTTCTCCCTACTATTAGCGTTCTTAGTATCTGCTTAAAACGAGTATCATGACACCAAATTATCTTAAGTAATACAGTAAATCTTGAATAAAAACTATGACTTTCATATGAAGCGCGCCTAGTTATGGTGGCATTCACCCCAAGAAACATAGTAGTCATGCTAATTGGGGGGGGGACAAAATGAAGACCTGAATATGTATAGCAGACGTTTTCAGCATTCTATTGTTATTTATTACAAAATTCCATGGTTTTGGGGGTGCAGTATTTTTAATACTCATAACAGCTAGAGTGTTTTGTAATCTACGTAAAGTTACGTATTAACTGGGACCCACGAAAAGCCGTAAGACGAATTCGGGAACTTAAAAGAAAATGGATTCTATGACGCAGATATGGGACCCTTCGAAGAGACAAAAAAGTTGAAGTTAATGTTAGATACACCAAAACTTCAACTGAATACGAAACGCTAAGCCAAAAAAAGCTATATGCTTTTGTCACCATCTAACTTTGAAAATGAGTTTAGCAATGTAGCAGAATGTAAAATATTCAACGCGCGATGAAGACTGACAATCCAGGAAGGTCATGTTTTGAAGAAATAACTATGAAATAAGAAAAGTACATCAATGTTTCATAAATATGACGTTTGCTGAATATACGAAATTGGCAAGCCTGATGAAAACTGTCCTTTTATACACGATAATATATCATATCATATAAAGCAAGAAATGTAGTATAAAAGATTTGCTTTGGCCGGGAATAGTCCAAATACGAATCCTTTGTGATCCACTATAAAAACAAAATGTACGAAAAAGGTTCACTTTTTTCCATCTGTATAAATAAATCCGTACAATAAATATGGGGAGGGGGGTAATACTTATGCTTGATGGCCTACCTTGATCTTTGATAGGTGAAAGTGTACGATCAGTAGGTTATCGTCTTTTGTACTTGCTATTGCTAACGTTTCCATGGAATCTTGTTCCAACGCTTACGGTAGGAATTCACCGTAATAACCATTCATCCTTTTCTGAACACAATTTCACCATTAGTGCATCTGTACCAATAAACATCAATTGAAAGTCCCTGACTGGCAAGGAAAGACGCCTCCATACATACCATGATAGAAAAGTCGGACTACCAAATGAGCTTTAAATTATTTTGTACCATTACTTAGACTATAAGGTATTTCTCCCACTTCTCCTAGCGTGCCTTCGTGGTGCAGTGGTTCCGCACGCTGGGCTGATATTCCAGAAGTCCGTGGTTTGATTCCCGGCAAAGGCGTTGCAAAGTTTTCAATCTCTCTTGCTTTTAATTAACCTAATGTCTCTACAGTGGCACCCGCTTTAAAAGGGGGAGTATATAAGGTATTTCTCCCGCCTTCCTAGCGTGCCTTGGTGGTGTAGTGGTCAGCACACTGAGCCGGTATTTCAGAGGTCCGTGGTTCGATTCCCCGGCGAAGGCGTTTACTCATTTTTCATCTCTCCTGCCTCGAAATAACCTAACATTGGCGCCCGAACTAAAAGGGCTTTGGATGATGACTCTCCACACCTATGATTTGGCGATTGGGTTCCCTAAAATCCCCCAGTCGCCCTTTGAAAAGGGGAGTATATAAGGTATTTCTCCCGCTTTCTTAGCATGCCTTCGTGGTGTAGTGGGTTCTGCACGCTGGGCCGGTATTCCAGAGGTCCGTGGTTCGATTCCCGGAGAAGGCAGTTGCTAATGTTTCATCTCTCCGGCCTCGAATTAACCTAATGTCTCTAAAAGACTTGTAAGGCTTCATAACTTCTACAGTTGCTCAAAGATGCCAATCGGTTTTATAATTTGTATGCGTTAAAAATGGTAGTTCCACTAATGATCTGAAATCTCAAAGTTTGCGGAGCTTCTATCAGATGTAAGGCTCTATTCACCTTTTAAAGCCATTCCTAACGTTGTCGGCGTTCACCACTAAGATACTTAATTGTTATGTAGTAAAATGTCTGAATTTATTGACAAGAAAATCGTAGTTGTAATTTTTTGGAAGCTAGAATTAATCTAGTGAAGTTTTTGTTTCCATATTATTTGACAGTCTTAATGCCTGTTCGTCGAGAAGGATGAGAATTAAGTTGGAATTCCATGGCTAATTCTGCTGCTCCGTTTAGACAACCTGCGGGCGGTATCCTGGAGCTAGGTCGACCAAAGTCTAGAACTGCAGTTCCAGAGTCCTGACTTCTCCCTACAGATGTGCCGAGTTTTCGTCCTAAGGATGGTCTTGACTACAGTTCTTCGTTCTCCGCCCTCCGGTTCTCGAGGACAAGCCGAGGAAAGAAGCTCCTTGTCCGGTCCAGTTTCAACCCACTGATGCCAAGCCATGTCTCATCCAAGATAAATTTAGTTTAATCATTTATTTTTTCTGTTAAGTCTTGAATCTGTCTGGAGTGAAAGCTGTTGGAGTCAAGTTTTACTTGCTAACACTCCCGATGCCTGTAATACTCTACGTAAATTTTGGTTTAAGGACTAAATTAATTATTCTTTGCTACAGTTGCTCTTCACCTATCTGGTTGAGGATAAAATTTATTCTTGAAGAATAATTAAAAATATTTTTTTTGTTTTGTAACTGACATAATGTGTTTAAAATTTTGAAATGATATACTGTAGTAGTTCTAGTGGTTGATCAAGTACATAATATTATAATTGTAAGATTTGGGTACCCAACCTGTTTATCGTTTTTTAATTATTGCTTACTCAAATGTTCCATGTAAGAAAATAGAATAATCAATCTTTAAAAGTTTTAATAAACGGGCATGAAAGAAGTATAATTTAGTCTGTCGATTATTATTTGTTTTATTCTAATATTATTACATTGTAGGTATTCTTGAACTGTTAATTGACATATATTCAGTATGTTCGTTAAATACATGCTTCAGTATGGCTAACTTTAGGTAGGAGAATTTTAAGTCAACATGTAAATAATCATTCAACCGGCACGAACCCGGCAATGAAAACAAAACGCAAACACCCACTTTCTAGGCTTAGTTAACGTCAGGAGGAAAGTGAATTAAATTAGAGTTATAATTTATTAATTGAGTTATTATTTGGGTTTAAAGTTAAACAAATGTTACAAATGGTCCAGTGAAAAGTTATATTAAATAAATAGATTTATATTTAACTAATGGTGCCGTTCACAGTTCCCTATATTACATAATCCACCAGCTGAGAAACGCATATCAAAACATATTGAACGTAAGAAAATGTATTATGGTATCAAAATACGTTAACAAAATGTGTGAATTAAACGAATTCCTAAAATTCAGAAAAGTATATCACGGTAACAATAAAATTAACGCAAACTATCAGGATGAATGCCTGTTCAATAAAATACCTTTCAGAAATCCTTACAAAGATTCTCCAAAGCATGTGGAGTATTTTAGAGTACGCATAGTGATGGAGTTATTATTTTTTAACGAAATTCTATTGATGGAAAAAAGAAAATAAAAAGGATTTATTCTTGTAAATATATAATTTTGCAATCGTATTTTATTTAGGTTTAGAAATTAAAAACAGAGGAGTTGCGCGTGGTTGTGCCTTCTTTTAATCTAGAGGATTATGCGCGCTTCCGAATGTAGAGCGTCGTAAACATTAGTATAC